CATCTTCTTTAGCTACGGTCCTGGCGATAGATTTAACAATGATTCATTTCAATGCAAATCACGGCCCCGATTAAGATTGCGCGTCGCGATCCAATCACACAATGAATATTGTAAATGACCTAACCAGTTTACTATTTCGCATTTGCATATATCTTAGTACACTGCAGCACAATAGCTGAGGTTTTTCTTGCCTATAATGATGATGATGTGGTCCAGAAGAATGCTAGCGTCTGGACGGAGAACCATTCGTGGACCGAAAGGCATTGTGCATCTGTCGTAAACAGCACCACACATAGCAGACATGGTACAATTGTGCAAGGAAAAAAAGCAATACAAATATGAGACCGCAATTATGGTGGGTATAGTTAATTCAGCAGGGGCAAAAGCGCAATCGGATAAGAGCCTGCCCTGAGGAATGACCAAAAAGGAAAAGAAGACAGGAGGGAGGGAAAGGTATTTCCATAAATACACCCATGGACATATTTCAAAGTGGTCCGAAAAAGCGGTTCGACAAAATAAACTGAATTCAGCTATTCCGCGTATTCTCGCCAACCGTCTCCATACAATCGGCTGAATCACTAGGTTGAATACAGATGCAGTTAATGTGTGAAGTCACAGGTGAATCGGTGGCAGACAGTTTGTAGGGGACATGAAACATTTACGCTTTCAGTATTTTGTGACATCGAGTTTTGTTTTTGTTTGTATATTCCGATCGTTCAGTTGTTGTAGTGACCGCACATCCGGTTCACTATCGAATTCCCTGTGATTGGCACGCTACCTTTCGGTGCTCTTGCAAATTTGCCTGTAGTTCATTGCAGCTCTTTACAATACACGCTGGACCTGGTTACGTTCTCACTCTGAACTAATTGATATCCGGATTGGTTCTAACTGATTCTCGTCGCAATCAGTACGTGAGTTCCGCTCTACAACTGGTGACCTCGGTTGCAAACTCCATCGCAGCCATCTTGAATTCCGCATCCCGGCGACACCGAACACAGTTGCGTCTGTGCTGTTCTTCCCCTTTCATTATGTTGTATTATTTCATGCCACATTTCGAAGTTAAATTTTCTGACCCTGTTTGTAATGCCGTTACGATTTTCGTCTCGCCAGTTATAAACACTGAGGATCATTTCTGACTTGTACTGTTGGAGTCGAAATGCACTCGCCATTAGATCACCTCCAGTTCATCAAAGGGCAGTCAGCTACTTCTTGCTTGCCCAATAACGTAACTGCAACTCAGAGAGCTCTTAATACACCCTGTTTCTGAGCACCGTTACGACACTCTCAAGCAGGCCGCTATAAGCAGTCACGTCCTATGAGCGGACACGCATTCGGCAGCTATTTCATAGCCTGAAATTGGCTGACAAGAAACCCTCCACGTTGTTAAGCGAAATGCGCCAGATGTGCGGCACATCATCCATGAACGAATCATCACTACGCGAACTCTGGTTACAACCTATACCAGCGATTCAACTACAATCGCCTAGTGATGCTCCTCATGTAGCCGACGCAGCAGCAGTAAACCGTTTGCGCACTCAGCTCAATTGCCTCGCTGCACCCTTGGTACAACCGATATGTAACCACAACACGGTACCCCTTGTTGCTTACACGCCACGCCATATGCCGCAGCATCACAAGAGTTAACACAACTGTCTTAACGGAGATAACAGCTCTACTCCGTGAATTTAGCAGTAAGCCTTCTAACTATAACGCATGCCGCACACGCAAAATAGCATCTAGCAGTAACATTCCTGCAGTTAGTAATCAATACTGATGGTAACATATGCCCTTCGGTGCGCAAGCCGCACATTGTACCAAACCCTATACGTTCAATTCCACAAAACAGGGAAACGATTGGGCCGGGACGTGAAGGCGACTAAGGTCACTGGCTCATCCGAAAGTAGTCGCATTCTTTACTTTCGGGACTGAAAAGCCGGAACCGCGTTCTTGGTTGACACCGAGGCTGAAGTAAGCGTGGTTCCTCCCGCACCTGGAGTGATGACTACGCCGAGCACCCTCAGCCTTCGTGCTGCCAACAGCACCCTCATCCTTACTTACGGACAACGTTCCTTAACCATAAAGTACGCAGAACATTTCGCCGGGTGTTCATTATTTCCGATGTCCCGTTTGCCATTATCGGAATGGACTTCCTTAGACACCTCAACCTCTTGATCGAGGTGAAACAAATGACGATGGTCGACCTCACAACGACGCTCAGTGTTACTGGCAACAATGCCGACATCTCAGCCATCACCCCAGTCTACGTAGTCCCACAAATCTCTGATTATTTTGCCGGGAATTTTCGCTCATTATCCTAAGCTCGTTCAGCCAATGAACGTAGCTCTTCCTGTGGCGTCTCAATTCACGTAGCATATCCGGACTAACGGCATAGCTGTCTCATCATGCCCGCGCCGACTTCGCCGGAGAAACTGAAACTAGCTAGGACGGAGTTCGAGCACATAATCGAACTTGGAATAATCCGTCCTTCAGAGTCCTTGGTCTTCTTCACTCCAGATGGTCCCAAAGACATCTGGAGACTGGTATGCTTGCGGTGACTGCCGGGCACTAAACAAACTTACAGTCCCCATATCTCACACATGCAGGACCTCACTGCACGCCTCACAGGTAAGACGGTCTGTAGCAAGATAGATATTGTTCGTGGCTATCACCAGCTGAGAAAAAAAGACATGTCGAAAACAGTCGCTATCACTCTATTCAGCTTGTACGAATTTTTAAGCATGCCCTTCGGACTGCGCAGACCATGCAACGTTTTATCCACGATGTAACTCGTGGCCTAGGCTTTACTTACCCCTTCGCGAGGACATGCTTGTATCAGTTTCATTCGACGAAGGGTATCCCACTCACTTACAAATACTCTTCCCGCGGTTGACCCAATACGGCTTCATGGTTAACCTGACGAAGATAGAAGTTGGCAACTTAGCCGGTTAATTCTTAAGCCATCTCGTCTCGTCAGCTGTTATCGAGGCACTTGCGGACAGGTTCTAGGCTATTAAATGCTTACCAGCTCCGACTTCATCCAAGGATCTCCGCCGATTTTGTGGTCTGGTCGACTACTATCGACGCTTCGTCCCCGGTTGCACACAAATTATGCTGCCTCTAACTGATGTTGTCAAAGGAAAGGAGGTAAGTTCGCTTTCCCAGATGCAGATGGAGCGAAAACATTGCGCTATTGCTTCTAGGTGTTCGCAACAGCATCAAAGCTGAGCTGCAGTGCGCACCCTCAGTTGATTTACGGTACAACACTTAAGCAACCAGGAGAGTTCATTTCGCCTCCCTCTCTATCGTGTATGCCACCGGCAGAATTCGTAGCCTCCCTTTCTCAACGCATGCGTTCGCTACAACCGACCCCTCCTCATGAGCAGACCAGGGATGCGCAAATGCACAGTGGACTCTCTACCCGCACTCACGTGTTCGTACGCACAGACGCAGTGTGCCCACATACATCACCCCCCTCAGAGTTCTCCAACGAACTCCTACGCATTTTGTCTAAGACAAGCATGGTCACCGAACAACGGTGTTCATCGATCGTCTTAAGGTGGCATTCGTCGAAAATCCACCCCCAACCTTAATTGGTACAGCCGTAAAAGTAAATTAATTCGCAGCTGCATCTTCCACACCAGGCACCCTAGACCCCTCTGTATCCTTGGCTCTCCGCCACCCACGCAACTGATAGACGGGGTAGACAGGGCAAACGTCCGATCCGCTTTTCAGATTTCGTTAAGGTTTGCTATATTCCTTAACATGCGTATTTTCATTCACAAACGTTTTGAAAAACGACAAAAACCTAAAACCTTTTTTACAATAAAAACCAAAGTGTACACTTGTTTCGTGTACTTGCCTCGTTATCCATACGGCATCACGTCGCCTATCCCGACCACGTCCCACCCTCCCTGAGTTTGATATATTCCAGAACCGCTGAATCTCCTGGCCCATCTGCCCAAAGCCTCGGGCCCCATAATCCCAGCTTCAAGCGACTGTGACTACCCACTACCGGTGCGACAACGACTAGTCTGGCCAGCGAATTCTGAGAAATGATTCCGCAAAGACGACAACCGGGATTCTTCGTAGGACGAGGATCGTTACTATCGTGGACTCCGAGTGCGGTGGGGGGGGGAGAGTGTGACACCTCCCAAACGTTGGGCCGCAGCGGAGGCCCTTTTCTGGAATAGCCATTTTTTGCAGTCCGACCGGCCCGTTCCGACGGTCCACTGATGATGTACTCCAGTCCACACCCAAATAATAAAAATAACAGAGGCCAGAACCCAATGAACTCTACGCGCGCACTCTCTGTCTGCGTACGCCTAGTACAACTACTATTCCACTTTTCCATCCTCACTTTGTCCCCCAACCTGACATCTCTATCGAAGGCTTCCCTCATTCAGCCTTCTAGGAGCAGACCCCTGTAGTGAACATGAAACACTTGCGCTTTCAAATAGTTTATGACATTGGATTTTATGTTGGTTTGTGTCCTCAGATCGTCTATTTGTTTTACTGACTGCACATCTGGTTCACTTTCGAATCCCTGTGATTTGCACGTTACCTTATTCAGTGCTTTTGCTAATTTGCTTGTACTTCATTGCAACTCTTTACAATACATGATGGGCCAAGCTACGTTCACATTTCTGAATAATTGGTATCCCTATTGGTTCCTAGTGGTTCTCGTGGTAACTAGTACAAGTGCAGCTCTACAAGTTCATTTGACGCTGGCCAACATTCAGCTTGGAGGAATGTGGCCATACCAAGGCAAGTCGAGACTGGAGACGGACTTGGTCTATTTACAGAGAGCGGGTTTCAGTTGCCTAATTACCGAAGCAGGTGGGTGGCGCTCTGCCAGTTGATTATTCTAAATGATTCACGTGGATTTTCACACATGGGGCAGTCAAGTATGTGTTGGGCGATCGAACTAGCAGGCAGTTTCGGACCGTTCATGATCAGATTGGGCGGAACATGCTGTGAAACGTAAACGACTAACGAGAAAACACGAAATGACTGAAATCAGATTGTCCTGTCAAAGTGTTGTTCCTTCTTGTCGACACAGGCGCTCCGCAAGAGGCTTCCTTGGAGCTTCCAAATCATCGAATGAAAGTAGAAATTGATTACCTCATCCATAAGTATTGTGTATATAATCAAGAAAGACAGCGCCTAGTCGTAAGCACATGTGAAGTATAGAAAATAATGGATGCTGTGGAGTAGGCAATAGTAAGTGTCTTCCTATGGAATGGGACTCAATTCAGTTTCGCCATTTTTGGTGATCAGTCGAATTTGACTTCCAGATGTGGGGCGATTCTGCCCTTCGATCCAACTCACAAGTAGCCTAAATGTGAAGGAAAAAGTGAACAGGTTAGATGCATACATTTCAGCAAGGCTATGAAAGGACATGAAGACAAATTCAGCAGTCCTCGTCAACTAACCAATATCCCAACATACAAGTTCCCATCGCATTCCTGATTTTAATGTCATGGTATTCGAAATGCCAGAGAAACAGTCACACCCAACTGCGAATGTCAACATAATTTCACTAGCAAATACACTGAACAATGGAAAGCCGTAAGTTGAGAACGATGAGAAAATGCAATTAATGCAAAAAGGGGTGATGTGTACATAAACGGGATTGTAAACGCTACAACGTCGTATGTAATTACTGTTCACATGCGCAATTGAAGTTATACCAGCATGTTGAAAAATCTACTGAAGCGAGCAAAAAAAACCATGGTAAAAAAAATCATGACGCATGAAACAGTATTCAAAGCAGTGAGTTCCACGCTGCCATGTGATGTGGTTATCACCACACGTGCCCGCCTACACACATCATCGTTGCGGATACGCCAGGGGCCAGCAACGCTTCGCATGCAGAGGTGATCAAAGACTTGAAGGTACTTCAGATTTTCAGACCGAAGGTGCAAATTCTCACTCCCATGGGGCATTACGAACCTTAATGTGGCCTTGTACACACGGCATTTCATACCGGGCTTACCCCCTCTCACGCCACAGATTCAAGAGCGCGGTTCGAGCTTTCGCAATACGTGAATGGACTTCAGCGGTTATGCGCCTACCTCGGCGGATGCAGATGCCACGGTAGGTGGTTTGCTTGCCCTCAGTGGAGTTAGTCCGATTTACGGCGTCGAGTTGGCCCCACCCCTGGTAGCTGGCAAACAGGATAATAGCTTACCACTGCGCAGGTTATTAAATGTTGTAAAGTCATTGGCACATCCCCGACGTGTGCAGGTGCATCTCCGACATGTAACTGGATAAGTGAACCGACGGGTAGCACCAATCGCTTGGAAAGGAATTTTACAACCTGAAAGAAACTGTTCTGCGCCAGGTTGATCAGTAGTGGAGACGATCTAAAATGAGATGTCTCGTACAACAACTCTAAGTTTGTCAGTGTCCAATTGGGAAAATTCGAAACCCAGAAGAATCAGTAGGGACGATATCAATGACGACAGGGGAAAGAGAAGACCCGACGGGGTCCCGTTATTATGCAGAACTAGGGAGGGATGTTTTAAGAGATTTCACAAAAGTTGGGAATAAAGGGGTCAAAACAGCATTCAATTCAAGGGAGAACAGAGGAGCAGGCTAATAAGTGTTAGCTACCTGTTTGCAACAATAAACTACAGACCGGTTGCATACTCGTTTCCACTCGTCAAGCAGTTCGTTGTTCCTAAAACAGTCCAAGTGATCGAATCGAAGGAGATTTATAACAAATAAATCGTGGTTCAGAATGAGGTTGCATGCTGCCCGATTGCATCTCCAGTGACTCATTGGCCGTGGTGACCAGCGCTGTCGACGGCTGGTTGGCTTAGGTTCGGACGAGTGCAGAGAAACACAAAACCAGTACTGGGCAACAGTTCACATTTATTTATCTGCATCAGATACGGTCCTAGTGAATGAAAATTGTCCTCAAAATGAATTGTGGTCCTGATGGAGATGTGTCGCTATGCTGCTCCGCAATGAATGCCTAAAAATGACCCGCTGCCAAAGTAGAGTCACAACCTGTATAAAAGTATGGCTCTGTTCAAGCGCCGAATATACGGCAAAAATGCGATAGATGAGATATCTACTGGAAGAATGCTAACTAAAGATGACTGGTTACACGAGTTCATTGGAAAAGTTGTTGATATCTGATGACTTATCCCGTCGAGAAAACGTCCAGTAAACGAAGTAGAACTAATCCCATCAAACGTTAGGTAGACACATATCACTACCTGAGTAAAAGCGCTTATTTAACTTTACCTAGTCATTTAATCACTCAAACTGGACCTCTACAAATAGCACTCGCTCGCGTAGTACATCATTGCAGATAAGTCGCGACAAACCAACACGAACAATGCTCCGCAGCAGACAACGATTAACACGTAGAAGTGCCAAGCGCCTTTACATCGCACGGGTTAGGATCCACTAACGCACAGAGAAGCGACCATCATTATGGTCCCACATACACAGTATTTAAGATAAAGAGATAAACCTAGTTTGGGCCAAAGCGATCGTACATATACACGTAAGTTATGAGAATGTAAGAACAACCATTGGGTTAATGTAAAGTGTGTTATCCGTGCATGACACCACATGCCACGAACGGTCTCGCACTCATTTGAACTCGTCAGTTAGAGGATCAAACACTGAGGAATTCGTCTGTGGTATGCAACAGCGCCTTGCACTCTTCAGAGGGGTTGCCAATGGATTGAACCATGCAAGAGTTTTCAGAAGGGATTCAATGTGCTGCATCGCGACTCGCAGACGGAATCGGCCCCGGAACACTACATACCGAAGTTAATGACGGAAGTGGATAGAAAGGGAAAAATCCTGATGAACGCCACTTATTGTCGGAGAGTTGTTCGGCAACTCCCTGTGGACTATGATGTGCAGCGAGGTGAGCGCGCTTAGCACAAATGCTTCTGAGTTAAAGAAATACCTGTCCAACTTGGTACAACAGTAAGAACAGGGCGATCGAATGAGTCAAAAGCGTAATGGAAATAAAGGAACATGATAGGTTTGCAGAACACGTGCAACTAGGTCATGGTCTAAATCCGGTACGCTCTTGCTTCGTCCCAGATCCCAGTTCTGCAGCAAGGCGGTGGACGGACCACTGACATTGATCTTACTGGCGCCAACATGATATTCGTGTCCAGAGAAAATGCTACGGTAACTATCCCTGACTGATACCACCGGAATCGACTCCCATCAGGTGTCCACGATGTCCTCATTTCATCACCCCGTTGGAAAAGTGGGTGAACTCACAATAATGAATACTGACTAACCGAAAATAGAACATTTCGGTCTATTTAAGATTATCGACTACAGTTCGTGCACCAGGGTGCGATGGATCCAGCAGTTCTGACTACCATTAGGAAAAAAATCATAAGCAAGGAGAAATGAAGATGGATTAGAACCATCGGATGAAACAGGTATAAAGGAGAGAACACATTTAAGAGAGTAGAGTTAGCGACTACGCCAAGATAAGATATCCAACCAGCGGTTTGATCCAACAAGAGGCCCACGTCCAGGAACACAACAAGAGAGAATTTAGCGTAGGAGCACGATGATCGGCTTCATGAACTTTTGCTATACCAATGACCAACTCGGAGTAGCACCCAAACATCCGCATTGCTGGGTACACACTACAAGCTGAGTTAATCAGCTGTGGGTATGCGGAGCACACTGTCGAGTCAGCGGAGGTCCGCTGGCACCCGTAGGTTGGACCGTAGGAGATCGCGCGTGGGAACTTCTCTTGAATTCACAAGCAACCAGCAGTCATTTTCCTGTGGCGTAGCTGTACACTATCATGCGCACTCAATGGTTGCGAATCGAGGAATACCTTCTTTGTGAAGGTAACTGTGAACAAGTCTTGTTTGATTTGTAAGCGAGATGAATGAACAATCGCGGACAATCAGCGGCAATCTCCTAGAGTGTGCGTGGTTCTGGGCTGGTTATCTGGTACCACAACAGATCATAAAGTGGTGCTAAAGCCAATGTGACCGGTTATAAAAGCACTGACCACTCGCTTCTACAACCAGAGGTGTGTATCTAACGGAAGGCGGATGAACAACTTTATTAGCCACCGACTTCTGGGTAGAAAGCGCATGAGCCACATGGCTGTCAGTCGTCTTTGTATTCAGCGGCTCGTTGGACGTTCCAAGAAACCGCTTCAGACCTATGTACCGCCATACTAGTTTGATACAACACAAGAGTCGTGCTATCGAATCCAGATGGCTTGGGATCTAAGTCATTCGCTCCGCTGCCATGCGCGTCAGGTCTATACGATCTATGACTTCGGGTGGGGTCCCCAAAGTCAGTCCTCTTCCTCGGACTGAGCAACCGGGAAGGTTTCTGGCTGTATAATACATATAAATCTGAACTTACGTAACGCTGTTCTCTTTCTACGCTCTCAGTCTTCGTTTTTTTAAGCCGATGTGCTGGCGGCCGGTTTCGCAAAACAATTTTCTACCGCACCACCTACTATATGTTTTGTTCCGCGTTTGTGAACTCAACCATTCTTGGTAACCCACATCTAAAGCCGGGTCTCCGACAACGTGCCGCCTTGGGGGACAGTTCTAATCATGTGGATGAGCGGTTCAGGACCGCTCGTGTGCCAAGCAATCGTGAAGACAGGTTTTTTAGCTCCCAATGCTAATTGGTCGCTTTCAATATCCGGACGCTCATGCAAATGGGATCGTAGACAGCACTTGCTCGCATTTGAGAAATCCTCACCATCGATACCTGTTGTCTCGCTGACACCCGGTTACAGGACTCTACCAAAGGAATTACTACTGACATCACCTGCATCCTCTCACGGTACATTCACACTATGCTTATCCGGAGACACAACTGCTGAAGCCGCAAGCCTGGTCGGTAGAGGAATCGTGTTAAGTGTGCATGCAGAAGAGTTAATAACCGTCTCTGAGTAATTCGGCTAGAAACCTCTGAACGTTTGTCTAGCCACGAGGCTAGCAAACGCTGTTTGGTTGTCGTAGTGACGTATGCTTAAACGGACTGGAGCCCCGAGTCGACTAAAGATGAAATCTACCGTCAACTCACCGGTGCTCGCAGGGACTAAAACGCACAGGCTGGTAGGTTCGAAGCTGATGACACAAACTTGGTGGTCTACATGGCAGTTGCAGGACGAATAACGAAGATCGCCTTCTACAGCTCTGTGTTGATCACGGCTTACTCGTCTCCGGTACAAATTTTCGGCGCTTCTAACGCCAGTGCTTAACTTTGCGACACTGTTCGTCTGGACAGCGCTGAACGCAAAATAACAACATCATTATTTATCACCGTAGGCGAGGCTGTATAACGGACTGCAAACCAATATGG